ACTGGTCAAAGGCCATGGGTGAAGGACATCCAGTAGACGTCATTTACTTCGACTTCAGCATGGCGTTTGATTGCGTCCCACATAAGCGCCTCGTTCAAAAGTTTTCAGGAGTAGGGATAAGAGGAAATCTTCTGAACTGGACTCAAGATTTCCTAAACGGTCGTAGACAAAATGTCACTGCGAGTGGCTACTGCTCAGAATTGGCACCTGTTACTAGTGGAGTCCCACAGGGGTCAGTTCTTGGGCCGCTCCTATTTATTATCTATGTAAATGACCTAGTACGGGAAGTGAAATCGGACATAGCGCTTTTTGCACACCATCTTAAACTTTGGAGGGCGATAAAAGATGAAGATGACGTCAAGATACTACAAGAGGACGTCGATAATTGGCAATCATGGAGCGAGAAATGGTGCATGAAATTCAACGTCAACAAATGTGCAGTAATGCGCGTAGTATCAGCGAGGCGCAGAACAAATGCACCCTCACGACAGTATCTCCTGGACAATCAACCACTTAAAACCGTAGATGTGCAAAAAGATCTCGGTGTATTCATTAAAGACGATCTAAGCGTCACCACGCAGTGTTCTAAAGTCGCTGCGCGGGCAATGTCAGTCATGAACGCGATACGCAGAACGTTTATTCACTTGAATATAGATGTCTTCGGCAAAGTATATGGGACATTTGTGCGGCCGCACCTGGAATATGCGGTACAGACTTGGCGGCCGTGGCTAGGGAAGGATGGATATCCTTGAAGGTGTACAACGGCGTGCTACAAAGGCTGTTCATGGCCTCAAAAATTCAACGCACGAGCAGCGCCTGACGGCCTTGAACCTCTATCCCCCCACTACAGGCAGGACGGAGATGACCTCGTTGCAACGTTCCAGTTGCTAAGAGGACTTGACCTGGATGTCGATTGGGAAACTCTTTTTGAAATGTCACCAAAGACTAATCTCAGACGACACGATTACCAGCTTAAAAAGGAATTGTGCCGCAAAAATCAACGTTCCTCCTTTTTATCACAGGGGGTCACTCGGCAATGGAACTCTTTGCCGGAGTATGTTGTTACTTCCCCTACCGTGAGTGTGTTCAAGAGACGACTGGATATTCACCCGCTGAAAGACAACCCGAACTGCCGAAGCCTGATCTAACGGATTACTGGAATGACTACAAATACACTACTAACATGAGTTCAGCAGATCCTTTTTTGTGCGTCAAATATACTGCCTGATATCATCTCGGAATGCATACTACTTCAGTTATTCATATTCTTTACGTGACACCCCAACCTTTGGGCTATCAAAATGGCTGTACCAGCGACTTTGTTTCCTCATCAAGGATTCAGAGTGGACAGTGAAGTCAGCTGAACAGTTTCTGGCTCGCATCCGACATCGTAGAGTGGAGGCGGACGAGTGATGGTATCCTTGGACGTGGTCCAACTGTTCACTTCTACCCCACCCGACCTGACCATCGACATTCTCGACGGCCTTCTCCGAGAAAAATACGAGACCGACCAACAGCTTAGGCGAGGGCACATCCTAAGACATTCTTCACATTTAATGGCCAAGTATACGAGCAAAAGAAGGGAACGCCAATGGGCTCACCTCTGTCTGGACTAATTGCCGAAGCGGTTTAGCAGAGGCTGGAGAGGCTGGTATTCAGCTCATACCCTCCAAAGTTCTGGGCCAGGTATGTTGACGACACATTCGTCATAAGAAAAAGGAGCGACGTGCAAGACTTCAGGGCACTTTTGAATTCAATATTTCCTGACATACAGAGGTCGACAATCGATTGTCCGTCCTAGACGCACAGGTCACAAAACTGGCAGACGGGAATGCAAAGACGAAGATCTACCGTAAAGCGACTAACATTAGGCGCATCGTCCACTTCAGAAGTAACCACCCCGTCGGTCTTAAACGAGTTGTGGCATGACCATCTTCCAACGTGCCCAAACACACTGTAGCGACGACGATGACAGGAAGAAGGAGGTGAAGTACCACGTGCCCTATTTGAAACCAACGGTTACCCGAAGTCGTTCACACGCAAGTGTCTCGGGAAGTCCCACTCTGGGCGGTCGAGCGAGGAGAAACCTAAGTTCTGGCCCTATATCCCCTATGTGAAGAACGTTTCAAAGACAACTTCGATAATTCTGAAACCTTTTTGGAATTGGTGTGGCCCATAAACCAGCATCAACAATCAGACAGCAGATTATGAGGCCCAAAGACCCGCTCCCCGTGACAGAACAATCAGCGGTGACCTACAACATACCATGCCAAGATTGTGAAACGAGGTATTTCTGTGAAACGGGAAAACGCCTCGGCACAAGATTGCACGAGCACCAGCTTGCAATCGACACACACTAGAACGGAACCACAGTTTCACCTTCGAGAAAGTGAGTGTAGTCGGCCGAGCCAATGACAAAATGGTCAGGCCAATGCTGGAAAGTTGGTCCTCGACTAGCACGCTCAACCGATCCATTGGCCTACAGCCCGCCTACCAGGCGCTCCGAGCAAGGCTCGAATCAGTCCTGGCAGGGCCAATGGCACGGATGAAAAGTCAAACGGGGTCGACCGCCGACGCTCAGAGGGGAAGGCGCTGACCGAATGTCACGTGACCGGCGTGATACTGTCTCACGGACGTACTCGCTAGGCCGGAAACACCACGCCAGAGGAACAACGATCGATCAGCCCGCCATCTGACGAGGGGGAGGCCAACGACCACGCCGACGCAGCGGTAACCACGTCAGGCGTGAGGGGAACACAAGGAACGCCAGTCCGCCAATGGTTGGGATCAGGGATGTCACAATCAGCCAACAGAAAGCAGGCTAGTCAACGTACGTGCGCTGGGCACGGTTTTAATACGAGGCAGGCGGCAAGGCTGAACAAATCATGGTCAGCAGGAAAGGCCAGCGAGCGACTCTGATGACGGAAATGAGAGAGTTTCCGTTTGCCACGAGTCGAAACAACTAATGTCGTCTGTCGGATCCAGTGCAGTTACTGCGAGGGGAATTACGTTGGAGAGACCGGGAAATGACTACAGACCTGTATGGGTGAGCACGC